CACCCAGTGGAGTGATTCAATGCATCTAAACACTTTGGAAGGCTCTTTAATAAAGGGATATATCTCCTCTTAAATGAATGGACATGTCTATCTCTTAAATGAATGGACATGTCTTTTAAGATTCAAAAGGTGTGACTTTTAGAGAGAATTTGGGAGGGAATTTTGATTTTTTTTTGAAAGGAGGCAGCCTCTAATTAAAAAGGGGAGGAGTTTAGGGCTTGAGTGTGGTGTGTGAGTGACAGGAAGGCTTTAGAGAAGAGAGGATTTTTTTTTAGGGTTGTAAGTGGAGAGGAAAGGTGAGAGATTTCTTCTTCATTACATTTGTAGGAGAGAATTGAGTGTGATTATAAAGAGAGAGGATTTGATTAGGAATGAGTGTGAGATAAGTTATGTTCTTTTCTTTCTTTATTTTGTAAAACTATTTTTATATATGAAATACGTGTTCTGACGTATCATTCTCATGAATTTTGAGTGAGCTTCTTTATCCTTCCCCCTAATGAGATTTGATTTTGTGAAGAATTGATTTTGTTTTATACGGTTTTAAATGTCATTTAAATGTCAATTTAAATGTCAATAATTTGTGATGATTCAAAATTTGATCTTCATTTACTTTTTGATTTGGTCAATTGAAAGGTTAAAATGTGTTGTGAAACATAAGATTCAAAAGGGCTATGCTTTCTACAACAAGATAAGAGTCACATTTAATTTAATGGGTGAGAATGTCATCAATGGGATTGAGTGCAAATAAATAGGAAAATATACTTTGTTGGACACAGAATTGGAGATTATAAGGTGATAGATTAAAATCTTCAATTTGGTCTAGTTGATTGGAAACTAATGTGAGATTGTTAACCCTCATGCGAGGGCGAAGTGGGAGCTCTGGAGTGAGAGCCGGTATCCTCCCAACCTAACAACGAAATTAAGGACCAAACTCTGGATTAGTCAATGTTCTTTGTGCATTTGATAAAGGTTAAATAATATGATTGCTCCTATTTGGCACAATACAATTTTATATATAATTTTAAATAATTTTAATTACTCTACTAACCATGTACTCATTGTAAAGGGGAAGGATGCTTTCTTAAATTTGAACTCTTCATCACAAAACTTTGTTTAGTCTTAGTAAATTTAACTTTGAATTTTAGAAATTAGTGTAGTAAACTCGGTTCTTTTAGTTACATTTTCGTTAACATTCATTAAACCCATTTTAACTTGTCTTTCTTACTTTAATTTTTATAGTTTGAATATTGTGATTTATGTTATTATCATAAGAATTTTCATCTTCCAAACTAAAACTTCATAGTAGTATACTAGAATTAGCCTAAGGGATTTCTTATTACGCTTCTATGTGGGATCGATACTGAGGTTTTTAAAGAAAGTCCTATAATTCTTGAAGTGATACGTGCACTTGCGTAGAACCACTAGTGTGTAAATTATTTTATATATTTTAAAACATCTTGATTTTTACCGCTAAATATAAATTGGGTCAAGTTTTTTGTCATATTTTGGAAGCTAAATTACTGTGTAATTTCAAGACGGGTCAAGTTTTTGGCACTGTTACTGGAGATTTAAATTGACATAAAACACACTAAATTAATGTACATTTTTATACCTATTTTTGAGATATTGCACTTTAATGAAAGGTATTTGTATGTTTTTCTTTTAGGTACAATAAAATGGATGAAAAATGATGAAAGAAGTGAAAAAGGATCAAATTTGGAGTAAAAATGAAGAATGAGAAATTGAACTGAGGCGCTTAAAACTGGCGCTTAAGCGCTAATGAAATAAAGAGAGCTGCTCTTAAGCCCTCAATACCCTGTGCTTAAGCGCCAGAAGTAGTTACTTGATGATTCAATGAATTTGGATGAATTTTTGAAGAGGTGTTTGAAGCAACCTTTGGTGAAAAAATGAGAAATATTTAATAGACACGAAAATTCATTCAATTGGCTTTTGAAATGAGGCAACTTTTAGAAGATACATTGATTGTGGACACATTTTGAAGAAACACCATGACACCTTTTGGAAAATTATAAAGAAGACTTGGATTAGAGAGATGAAGGAATCGATCGACAACCCAACTCTCATTTCAGTCCACCCACACGCCGCCCCGCCCCCCCCTCCACCGGCCCCCCCCCGCCGCCAGTTTTCTTTTTATTTTAAGTTGTAGTTTGTATTGTCAGTGTAGGAAGAGATTCATATGAACTTCAAGACTTTGGTATATAAGATTTAAGATAAGTTTTTATCTTTGTGACTACATTTGGTTTTAATTTAGACTTCTTATTTGTTTGCATGATTTCTACTTTCAAACTTAAGAGTGATTGTTTTTTCTCCATGAATTCTGAGTAGTTTTCTTTATCTTTTTCCTTAAAATGATAAGTGATTAAGTATTGGATGGAAGTTGTGTATTAAACTTTAATGTTGGAAGAAGTTGTGATGATTTTAAACCTTACTTCTTGATTTGTTCTTGATTTGGCCAATTAAGATCTTAATACCTGTTGTGAGAACATGTAAGAACTGAGATGGTATTGTCGTAGTCAACAAATGGTAAGAATCACATAAAATTGTATGGATGAGAAATAAGTTTATGGGGTTGAGTGCAAATAAATAGGGAAATAAACTTTGAAGGGTGTAGACTTAGAGAACTTTAGAGTAATAGGCTAAAGCCCCCCATTTGATTTATAGTTTTAGGTTTTTATACGATATGTTAGCCCCCAGGTGGAGGGAGAAGAAGGAACTCTAGAGTGAGAGCTAGTATCTTCCTTACCTAACCCATCTTCAAGACTATTCAAACTTTAAATTAGCCAATGTTTTTTATAGCATCTCTAGTAAAAGTAAAGAATATTATTGCTCCTATTTGACACAACATAATTCTTATACTTGTTACTGATTCATGATAAGGAAAAAGATATTTTATTTATATTGCATTCACCTTATAATTATCTAGTTAAGTTTAAGTAGTTGTTACTTTATTTTCAATTATCAAAAATTACATCAATTATCATTTTCAATTATCAAAAATTACAAAAAAAATCAAACTTTCATTCCTATTATAACATCTAGACTTTGAGTAAGAATATTTTGCCAAGTAGAATTTGTTATCTTATTTCTTCTAATTTGAAGTTGCATATTGTTGTTATCCCTATGAATTCGATATTCGGGACTTAACCAAAAAGTTCTATATTACTTGATAATGACACATATACTTGCGTAGTATCCCATATTTAAATAAAATAATTGTATTCTTATTTACTTCAAAGTCAAGTTTGTGTCTAGCTTTTGTTGGTGATCAATTTTTTGGTGTTGTTGCAAAGTAAGAATTATAAATAAAGAAAAATTAAGAATTAAATTGCATACATCGCATTGACATATAAAAAGTTTCGGGATCACCAACCAACCTTCCTCTTTCCCAATAGCACCTGCCAGCCACCCTTCCAACTACTATTGGCCACCTACGACCTTCCATATTTGTTGTCCCTACAATTTTGCACTTTCCCGCTCACTACCACCACCCTGGCTAGCCATCCCTATCCACATCATCGGCCTCCATCACCCTTAGAATACACTTGAGAGGTTTTTGCTTGTCATTTTACGTTTTGTGCTGTTATTTCTCGTTTGTGTCATAGTGTAACCCTATTTAATATTAACGAAAGTTTGTTTTTGTGTTTCCATTATTTTTTACTAGTTTTAATATCATATATATGTGTGTTTGTGTGTGTCAATATTTAGAAAGGAATGGTCGGAGGCTATGATACGAGCCCCGACCACCCCTCAAGCGCTTAATAATTCGAGTATCACACCTTACACTCAGGAGGAATCGAACACCAAATCAGAGGGGACTTACAACTAACAAACAGATTAATTCGACCAACTAATCTGAGTACAAGGCTCATATATATATATATATATATATATATACATATATAGATATATTAAAGCAAAATAACAATTCTGAAGTTTAACCAAAAATAAAATTAAGCAGGAATTTTCAAATGGTTTATTTTTCTTTGAGGATCAAGGAAAAGAAACTGAATAATATTCACCGCCAAAAAATTCAATTTAATTTTAAAATCTTAGACCAATTTTATATGCCCTCATTTATATATCTGAATCGAAGCATATATTGAACCATATAGATACCATATGCAAAAATAAATAAACAAATTTATATAATTGTATTATGATCTAAAGATAATTTAATTTGTTTCAAAATTGGCTCAATTCACATTTAATACAGATAAGTTGAGGGCCAAATTCAATTGCCATGTCATTTGTTTGAAATCAATTACATTCCAGCAGGAGTGGCGCCTTCTAATTCACGCTTAGTCAATATCTATATCCTTTAAAAAGTGTTTTGACCAAAACATGTTACAGCATTGGTTTAGTAGACTTTTCATTTATGAAAGTGTTAAAAAATAATAAGAAAATACTTTTTTTAAAAAAAATTAATAAGAATACCATTTAGAAAATAACAAGGAAATAGAATTTAACAAAAAAAAAACATTTTTTAAGATAATATAATAGCCTAACAAATTATAAAATAAATAAATGACCTTTTTTTTTCTTGAAAAGTTTGAATCTTGAAAGTCAGTCTATTATGTTTGTATTCGCTCAATCAATATGCAAGTCTGAAATTTCATCCCTGTTTCATGCAGCTGGGGCGCCCCTGAGTTTATTCTAATGTCTTGCTTTCTAAACTAAAAATTCATTTTTAACCTTGCCCATGAGTTCCACTAGTGTAGAATCAACGAGTCCCGCATGAAGTGCTCCACAAATGAAGAAACCCCAAAATAAAGGTCGCAAGCCCATCAAAGCTTCTGGTTTTCTCACATAACATATCAAGAGAATTGCTTGCAGCCAAACAGTCGTCAGGGAACCGTCTCCTACTCGGTGATAGTCTGATTTTCACGCTAACCACTAAGGTTAGTGCCATTAAAGCTCACATTCCAAAAATAAATAATAATAATAATAAATAATAAAATAAAATAAAAAGAATTGTTCAGAAAGAATAAATAGTAGAAATAAGGCCCACGTATTAGGTTCTGTGAGCTCCGTTGGCAAAGTAAAGCAGCTAGTTTGTGTGGAAAAAAAAAATGATACCGCACGAACAAACCCAGCCCATCCTTTCAATACGCTCGATGAAGCTTATCATTTTGGTTATGATTACGAGTTCAAGGATTCTTCACCGACGTAGAAAAGAATACATTAGACAATGGAAATTAGTTGCAGACACTGAAGTCTTCATTTAGAAAATGATTAATCACACACTGATGTCTGCTCGTCTTTGCTTGCTGCTTCCGGCTGCTAGCGATCCAGATACTGGATATCTATTGTTGCTATAGTTTTCTGATGCTGAAACCGGTTGTTGTGGATAAAGTGTTGGAGGTGGTGGGAGATTCCGTTGTGCAGGAAGTGGAGGAAGAACATCGTATTTAAATTTGTCCCCACTTAAACTGCCAAAAATAATTATGAAAAGATGTTAGAATGTTCTTATGTTATCAAAAATAAATAGACTTTCTGGTATTTTTAACCATTTTTTTTTGGAAAGACGAGAGCAGCGTCCAATGAATTTCATTAATAAATAAGATTACAAGCCTTTCATTTTACAGTAAAACTTCATTTACAAAAGAAATAGAGTGAATACAGGTAGTGACGGAACCAGAAATTTTTCTTGAGAGGCACAATCTAGCCATTTAAAGAAATGCTCTCTTATATATATGTATGTATATCTATATATATATATATATATATATATATACACACACACACACTCCTCCATCAAGAGAACCGCCATGAGATTAAATGGGTCCCAACATTGTCCGATTAAAAAGGAGAGCAGCAATCTAAAGGATGCAATACTGAGTGCTCCAGCAAGCCAGTCAACAAAATTGAGAAGGACAAAGCCAAACCTAAAAAGAGCTCGACGAACCGAATAAATAGCAAAACAAAAATTCATCTGCAGTATAGTGATATGTTATCGAGCTTTTTCAAATCTGAATTTCCAACTCTTGCTCTTTAGGTGAATTGAAAAAAGGAGTGTTGCTACTTGGAATGTAAACATTAGTATTTTCATCTCCAAAGACTTTTAAAAAAAATTTTCAAGCAACATAAACTTGTGCTGTAACATGTCTAGCCAAGACAATTCTTACAATCAAAAGAGCAACACGAACTCAGAATTGCAAGAAAAAAGTAGGGCTGCTAGTGTCCAGCTCAAAGAAGAGGAATAGCGGTGGGTTGGATTGAAACAATTTTAGGACGGATATTCCTCTAATGAAACTCCTTAATTCAACTTCAACTTCAACTTCTAACTGCACTACAAAAAATCTTTGGATTTGGATTGAGGTTTGCAGATTTGGGACAGGTAAAAGTCATGAACAAAAGAATCACAAATGCCAAGCGAAAGCTTCCATTCATATAAAACGGGTGTCAAGCAAAGGTTTCTATTCATACAAAACGGGTTGTAAGATCTCATGACCATCAAAAGACGGGATAAAAAAGGGCACAGAATAAGAGATGAAAACTTGGACACTGTCTAATGCAAATGTTAGTCAAGATTTGAAAGTCATAAGAGGATCATTAGCAAGAGGAATACAAATCTTACCATAATGTTAGATATACCGATTCTAACCAACATGGCAATAGAAGATGAGGATGTCTGATCTAGAGTGTGACTTACTTATTAAAGTCCTCTATTATAAGTTCGAAGTTCGAAGTCCGGCGTATATCGCTTAAAGATAAATGGTTTTTATTAAAAAAACCACGGACCACATTTGAAAGATCAATTCCAAATCATCACTACATCTAGTTAATGAAGAAGGATCGATCCGCAAGGGATAAGACCTAAAGTGTACCTTCTAGCTTCCAATGTTTACAAACTACAAACACGTTCGCACTCTAATTGAATAACCAACCAAAGCTTGGCTTCACATCTTTGCATTTTCATCAACCTCAACTTCAGAAAGACAAGTTTTTTCATCTATATACTTGAGATAGGTTAAAAAGCAGCAAAAATTAGGTCTCACATTGGTATGGGGATATGAAATGTCCTAGAATTAGGCAATCACACCTATATTGTATTTGAAGAAATTATTCATCCAACTTACACTCACAAGATTGAAACTAGATAAAAAAAATTATTCAAGCCAATTTCCTCTTTTATTTTTAATGCAATATTTCTTGCACATCATCATTGGTGTGTTCTTCATTAAAGAAATAATTAAAAATAAACAAATGAAAAACCGTAAATAATCTGTACTAAAAACAATGCTCAATGTGATGTTCTGTTCTTAGGAGAATAAATGTAACGATTTTCAGGAGTGGCCTTTTTAGTTAAAGATGGGCATGACGAAAAAGTAAATGCAGGGCAAGACATCAGAGGACTAAGGTAGAGTAAAATGGCAGGAAAGTGAAGCAAATCTCCGTCTCACTTATTCCCGCATTAATGAAACAAGACTAGACCGGCTGCATCAATTTTAAAACAGAAGGCTTCGTAAAATGAATTCCAATAAAGGTGCTAATTCAAGTTATTACATTGCTACAAGAAGTTCCTACAGAATGATAGCCTCGAACTATACGATTCGTACAACGATGAACCTTTGTAGCAATAAATCAATTTGTTATCAATTTTGTTAAGAATTGGACCTTATTTAGTGTCCTAATAATAAAAAGAGAATATTGAAGAAGTCTAGGGGTTTATTTGTAAACATTCTGATACACTATTTAAGCCCATGATATGGGCATAAAAATTAGGTTTTTAAGCAATTCCTTCTTTTCGATATCAGAGCCTAACATAGTCACCGCCTCTATCTCTCTCTCTCTCTCCAACCCGCCCGCCGCTTTCTCTAATGCCAGATCTCTCTATCGCTGCTAGCTCGCATAAACGCCTGTGCGTTTCTTCTCCATGAGAGCTGCTCCTAACCGAAACCATTGAGAAATATGATCGGACGAAGATGCGGGATTGTGATCTGTCACGTCTTCTGATCGTGACTGTATCGTAGGGTTTGGTCACATTATCACCTTCCCAACAAGCTCTGATTGCGACTCTAAAAGGGTTCGGTCACGAAGGTGTTGGATCGCAATGGATCACATCGTCGCCTTCCCAGCAAGGTTGATCGCGACTGTATCACAGGGTTCTCTGTATGTTGCGATCCCAGAGTTACTTTCCCAACCGTATGGTAAGAAATTCAGACAGGAGGTTTGGTGCGAGTGAAAGAGTGGAGCAGCACTGTGCAAGGATGTGGGGAGGCAATAGAGAGGAACAAACAGGGAGAGACACGTGACTTCTGAGTATGAGATGTGGAGCAGGAGAGAAAGAAAGATTGATGAGGAGGATTTTGAGCTTGAAGGTGAAGTAGATCAAGATCAGGTCAAGAAAAGCAAGGAAGTCGTGTGTGATATAAACTTGGATTCTTGTGATTGAGGATGTCAGGAGAAGGAGATGGTATGTGAGGTAAAGGATTAGAGCATCTGGAGAAGATAAATCCTGAGGTTCAGAATGTCTTGATCAGGCTCATAGAGGGAGCTAGCGTCTCGACGGGAGCCACTACCTAAACACGTGCTCTGACTCAAGTGAAAGTATATCTCCCTCCTGTGGATCCGAAGTTTGATGGACTGGCCACGTATGTGAGTTAGTCGCGTCGGATCGAGACTGCTCTAGTAGGAAAGAAACTAGAGGAATATTTGATGAGATAAGGCTGAGCCAGAGATTGATAGTGTTCAGGGGGATGAATGGAGGACTGCACACGCCTTACTTTACACCTGGCAACTCGATGGTTCCATTTTAGCATAAAACATTCAAAAGGTGAGAGACATATGCGGAAAATTGAAGTGGATTTATGTTGAGATAGAGAACCACATTAGGGTGTTTTAGATTTAGCGTGAGATACAAATAGCGGTACAGAGTGATATATCGAATCAGAAATACGCCATAGCTTTTGAGCGGTTGTGGATAGATCTCAATCACTTCTCACTAATGTTGAGTTATGGCGATCCGGAGTGCAAGAAATGAGAGATTTTTTACACAAATGAGAACTATACAGTTTCTGGCCCATCTGAGCACGGCCTCTGATAAGAGGAAATTAATCCTCCTAGCTGGTAAGTGAGAGAGTGAAAGGTACCAATCATATAACTTTGTTTAATGTTTTCCATGCTTCTTCTTTTCTAGTGAACATTTTATCCATTAGTGTTATTATTCTCCAACTAAATTGTGATGTTTATTTTGATATTCCTATGGTGATCTTCCAAGAGAAAGGGGCAGCAAACAATTGGGACTAGAATGTGGCATGGTGGATTCTGGTACTTGGACCAAGATGGGATGGACTCAGCCTTGACATCCACATCCATGGTAGAGAGTGATGGAGTAGGAGAATCTGGGAGGAGTGTTGATGATGTGTTGTTGCTACATCACAAACGCATAAGACACTCTTGTTTTAGTTTATTGATCTAGTTGTATCCCTCTTTGTATGAAAAAACAAATAAACAAAAGTTTGTTTGTGACGCTTGTGAGTTTGACAAGGTTACTAAGAGCTCTTATATCAGTTCCGAGAATAGGAGTTCTGATGTTTTTGACTTGATTCGTTATGATATTTGAGGACCTTGTTCTATAAGTTCTATGAATGATTATCGATATTTTAAGGCCTTTATTGATTGTTTTTCTTGTGTTATTTAGTTATATTTGATGAAAAATAATGATAATGTGTTTGTTTCCTTTAAATACTTCCACAAAACAATTCAGACTAAATATGATGTTGTAGTGAAGGTAATGAGGTCTGATAATGAGACAGAGTATACTAACAAAACATTTAGGAAATACTTGTCAGTCCAAGAGATGCAGCATCAAACCACATATCCAAACACACCAGCACAGAATGGAGTAGCAAAAAAAAGAACAAACACTTTCTAGAAGTTGCCCTAAGCATGATAATCATAATGAAAGTTTCAAAGCACTTATGGGAGCAAGCGGTTTTGAAAATTATTTTTCTTGTATTATTTGGTTATATTTGATGAAAAATAATGATGATATGTTTGTTTCATTTAAATATTTCCGCAAAACAATTCAGACTAAATATGATGTTGTAGTGAAGGTATTGAGGTCTGATAATGGACAGAGTATACCAACAAAACATTTAGGAAATGCTTGTCAGTCCAAGAGATACAACATCAAACTACATATCCATACACGCCAGCACAGAATGGACTAGCAAAAAAAAAGAACAAACACTTTCTAGAAGTTGCCCTAAGCATGATAATCATAATAAAAGTTTCAAAGCACTTATGGAGGCAAGCGGTTTTGAAAATTGCTAAATTGATCAGCAGAATGTCACCGAGGGTGTTGGATTGGGAGTCATCTTTGTGAAATGTTGAAAGGAGATGATAGCTACTATTGAAGGTGTTCGAATGTGTATATTTTGTGAAGAATAATAGATCACCGGTTGGGAAACTAGATCCCATAGTTGCAAAATGTGTATTCATAGGTTAGTCTGTTATCCAAAAAAGGTAAGTCTGTTGGAGCCCAATAAAGAAGAGACAGTTTATGAGCATGGTTGTGTCATTTAGAAAATTTGAACCGAACTACACCCAAGAGGTGGTCGCCAGATACTAGAGATATGAGGCAATGCAGGGTGAGAAGCAATGGTGAGAGAGTGGTTCATGTGGGAGCAATGTCATATCCTGTGATGTGTTATACACAGAGAAAGAAACAAAATGAGGAAATGATGCCTGTAATGCCACTTGTGCCAGCTAGTCCTTTGTCCCGGTCTTCCCTTACACTTGAGACACTTACACCATCCGCCTCCAACTTAGATCTCCGAGGTAATATGATTCCTTTCTACTAACCCCCAACTTTAAAGAGGACCTCACAAAATAATGAGGGACATCCTCCTGATCGTTTTGGGTGTGAGCATTACATTGATACCTTTGTTTCATATTCTAGCATATCATCTTTACATAGAGCCTTCATTACATCTTTGGTCACTGTCACTATAAAAATGTGTTCGCAGGTTGTTGAGGATCCCAAGTGGAAACAAATGTGCATGAAGAGCTTAGAGCTCTTGAAAAAAATCGAAAATGAGAGATAGTACCATCACTAGTAAGAAAAAAAAGGAAGTTGGGTGCAAGTGGATTTTTACAATGAAGCAAACTCTATAAGGTAAGATGGAGTTGTACTAGGTACGATTGGTGGCGAAGGGGTATACTCAGAGATGTGGCATTGACAAGGATGAAACCTTTGCACTAGTAGCAAAGATAAGCAAGATGAGTACACTGATTTCTCTTGCAGTGAATGGTGGGAGAAGATTACACTAACTCATTATGAAGAATGTATTTTTTCATGATGAGTTACTGGAAGAGATATATATGGAGATACCACAAGGATTCGGTAGTCCAGACAGTGAGCAAGGTGTGTAAGCTCAAGAAGTCACTATAGGGCTTGAAGCAGTCTCCTCGAGTCTGATTTGACAATTTTAGAAATGCTATGGTGGGCGTGAGATACTAACAAATCAATGCATATCATACGGTGTTATTTCGACAACATGAATGTCAAAACAATATTTTTGCAGTATATGTTGATGACATCATTGTCATCGGTGATGATGAAACAAAGATTACTCAGCTAAAGAAAAAATAGGGCAATGAATTTGAGATTAAGGATCTTACACAGCTCGGATACTTTCTTGGGACTGAGGTGACCCATGTACTTGAGGAGATGGTCTTGTTTTAGAGAAAGTATGTACTAGATCTCATCACAGAAACAGACATGCTAGGGTGCAAACCTGCAGTCTCTCCAATTGACCAAAAGTCCAAGATAAGTGCAAAGGCAGGATAACTGGTTGATTATGAGAGGTAGTAGAGATTGGTGGGTCGTCTAATTATTTGTGTCACACTCGACCCGGTAGTTTTTTTTGCAGTGAGCGTGGTCAGCTACATGCATGATCCAATGAAGGGTCGTATGGATACAGTGTATCAGATTTTGAGGCACTTGAAAAGTGCATTAGAGAAGGGGTTGATCTTCAGGAAGAATGGATATGTAGACATTAAGGGATTTTGTGGCACTGACTGTGCGAGCTATGCAAATGACAGAAGATCCATCTCAAGATACTACAAGTTCGTAAGAGGAAACTTAGTCTCTTGGGAGAGCAAGAAACCATCTGTATTAGCGAGGTCAACAACAGAGGCAGAGGACAGGGCCATGGCCTTCAGAGTTGTCGAGATGATGTGACTGAGAGCCTTGTTGTTTGAGCTCAAGGTGGACCAAATAACTCAAATAAAGTTGTGGTGTGACAACAAGTCAACAATTAGTATTGCCAACAACCCTGTGCAACACGATAGAACCAAACATGTGGAGATTGATAGATTCTTCATCAAGGAAAAGCTTAATAACAAACTACTAGAGATAAGTCATGTAGCCACTGGAGAGCAAGTGGTTGAATGTCTTGCTAAAGGACTTAGTTCATTGGATTTGTCTCGGTTATGTGATAAGATGGGCTTAGTGGATATCTTTTGTCCATCTTGAGGGGGAGTGTTGTTGAAGTGGACCTTATTTAGAGCCCTATTGGTAAAAAGAGAACATTGAAGAAGTACAGGAGTTTACTTGTAAAACGTTGTAATAGCTTATTTAAACCAATGTTATGAATATACTGATTAGGTTTTGAGCAATTCTTTCTTTTAATTTCATTCAAAGAAAACCTATATGAAAACTCATCAGCTTAGGAGAAAATAATATTGGAAAAATACTCTTGCGATGTGATCCTAAAATGCATAATAGATAAGAAGGAATGGCAAAAATGTAGACTAAAAGATTTGCAGAAAGGCAACATACGAAGAATGATAGATTATTTAAAAGAAGCAAACTAATATAAGACTAGAAATGAAATTTTCAAAATGTATGGAATAATATGCTTGATAACAGTGTGGTTAAAACGTGTTCAACATACCTCCGTTTGCTGTGAAATTGATCTTCTTCACTTGAGCTTTCACCAGAAGGAAGTACAGAGCTTTGTACTGGATATGCAGACCATGAGCTTGGGGCAGGTAGCTCGTCAGAAAAATATCTCCTTCTGACCAGCTGACAGAAAATTTTCTTAAAATTTAGAACAGGAGGCATGGAGTTGCAGAAAGAGAAAATGATACGCAAGGTTATGTAAAAACCATGAGGAAGAACTTTGTTATGGCTTCTTTGTCATATCTTGCTTCTTTAGCAGCCTGCCATTTCAATTACATGAAAAACAAATGAGTCATTAAACTTCTAATTCAACAAGATGTAAGAAGAATTACTGTATCGTGAGTCTGTGAGAGAAAAGATATCACCGCCGCAATGCATTTCAAAATAATTTAAAATCCATGATCACAGGGCAAACTTTCCTGATAATTCCCTCTAATTAATCTAAAACCAAGGCCAATGGATAAATAAAATTCTAAAGTGGTCCAACATGTATACAGAACGGCAAAAAAATGCATTTAGTTGAAATGAATTCATATTGAGGATCATGCATGCTTATTTCAAAATAGATTAAGAGAGTAATTAACTAATACACACACGAACAAGTGTTTCAAAAGGTTAAGGAATAAAGCGAGGTATTTTCCTGGCCATGGGACTGAAACCCTGAGAATATATTTTTTCAATATTTTATAAAAAAAATTTACTGATAAATTTTAAATAAATTTCAAAATTCGATGTTCATAGTCATTGCATAGACATTCTGAGTCCAAAATATAAGAATATAAACATAAAACATTGGTTTGTAATTTGTCAACTCTAACAAGGCTAGATAAACGTACACCATATAAATATCCAAATATTAAGAAAAGTAACTTAACATCGAAATTCCTATAATCTATAAAGTCGAAAGGCTCATCTCATCTAAACTATAAAGATTTAAAAAAAATGATAAATAACTTATGGATTTAACCAACATTATTGACAAGCTTTAGAGATCCATTGAGAAGTGCTGACAAAATAATTGAGGCCTTTGTCTTCTTTAGTGCAAAAGACAACAAATGGAGAAGAGGGAGATGATGAATTAATGGAGATAGGATCCCAACTAGTGATTGGAACAATATTAAAGAGGGAGATTTACTAAGAGAGCATGTTAGTGCCGGAGAAGTAGAGATCAAGCAAGGCGATGATGACATAAAATGATAAATGGGTCGATGAGGGAGTTAACAGCAAATAAAAGTCAGCTTAGGATTTTTTCTATAGTCTTCATGTCTATACTTAGAAATTTGCTTAATAAATTTTAAAAAAAAAAGGTTATAATTGAGTACATATTTGCTTCAACATTTCTAATCATTTATTTTGAGATCACCTGAATCATAATATGTTCAATCAACCTAACAAACACCCTCTTCTATTTGCCGGAGAAGTAGAGATCAAGCAAGGCGATGATGACATAAAATGATAAATGGGTCGATGAGGGAGTTAACAGCAAATAAAAGTCAGCTTAGGATTTTTTCTATAGTCTTCATGTCTATACTTAGAAATTTGCTTAATAAATTTTAAAAAAAAAGGTTATATTTGAGTACATATTTGCTTCAACATTTCTAATCATTTATTTTGAGATCACCTGAATCATAATATGTTCAATCAACCTAACAAACACCCTCTTCTATTTGGGGACTCTCCCCCCCCCCCCCCCCCCCCCCCCCCAATGGGATAAGCTCTGAAAAAGTATGTATAAGCCCTAAAAAATATGTGTGTATGGCTATATAAATATATAAATATATAAATATATATATGTGTGTGTATGTATATATATTTCAAATATTGGCCATAGACTATAATACAAGTCCCCAACCAACCTCAAGCGTCTAACCACTCGACTTAACCGCACATAGGCGGATTTAGAACTCCCAACCCCAGAGGACTTAGAACCAACTTTGCATATGCCAACCAAAGAATAAAGGACGCGCGCGCGCACACACACGCAGATATATATATATATATATATATATAGAAAAAGCCGCTTCTCGACCCATAC